ATTTGGGACACTTTGCATGAATGCAACCGCTTCAGCCTTGTTGTGCGCCGGTGCTTCGTGCAGCGGAACACAAAGGACAACTGCGACAAAGAGCCAAAGCCATATTTGTTCCTGCCGAAGAACAACGATCGAGTGCTGCCCAATGCCTTTTCGCACATCTTAGACATTCGACATGTGCAGGTGGAGACTGGCGTCCACACCATTGTGAGGCTGCCTGGCAAAGTTGTCAGCGACTGCACCTTGTCAAGCTGCAGGAGACTGTTGTTTGTCTGCAGGACTGAGCGTTCCAAAAGTGCTGTGAGCTCAGAACTGTTCTGTTTGAGGAAAGATACGAACCAAGCGGCAACACGAAACCAGAACACCAAAACACAAACCAAAACCAAACCCAACCCAACCAAAAAGGAGCAAGGTTCGTACCTCAGGTTGGCTGCGTAAGCCAGTGGAGAGAGTGAAGCCAGGTGAAACGGAGGGGCAACGAATTCTCCTTTGCACTCAGTTCATCACATTCTGGGCATAGTCCTCTTTCTTCGAGAGAGTCCGTGAGATTGGTGTACTGCTGTCGAACTGGTTGCATTCATCTTGCGGTGATATGCGATGAGGGTTCAGCAATGCGGCCAAGGTGCCTTACTTCAAATGAGGCATCATCGCTTGAAGCGCAAAGTTGTAATGCATGGATGGACAGCTCGGACCCAAGAAACGAGACGAATCAGTACGCATTTACACCACACAATATCAGCAAATTTGTGAGGACATGACGAATGAGATAGCCTACGTAGGCTGCGAGGCACTTGAGGCGCCGGGAAAATGATTGAGTCAGCTGAGTCAACCCCCGAAGACTACAAATCAACGAAAGACAGAAACAGCCTGCCACGAGCAGACATGGAGGGTGCAAGGGAGCACCGTACCGGCATGGTCGCCACCCCCCCGAGGGGGGGAGACGGCAGCATTCCACTTCAGCAATGCAACGGTGTCTCTTAAACAGCTATGCCACGAGAGACGCAGAAAGGCTAATCTGTCCAGGCAAGCTGGATCAGCCGCTCGCCAAGTTCGTCTCCACACCTTGCTGTTAGTGAGCCGACCTGGCTGTGAGCCTCAGCTCTTGGCCGGAGATTGGGCGTTTGAAGCTAGGCAACACGACTGCAAAGCTGCAACCTCAAGAAATGTTGGAAAACCTTGAGGTACCTCATCGAACATTCTTGCCGGCAGTGCGCACCTATCTCAGCTGATTCCAATAGCTGTGCACCCATCTCACTGCTCCCTTTGAGGAAAACTTGCCAACCTGACCGAGAAGTACTGAGCGTAAAGAATGAATTCATCGCCCCCGTCTCACTGCGTTTCACTCTTTTGCATTGGCCTACGCAGCCTACCTGAGGTACGAACCTTGCACCTTTCTTGGTTCTTTTGGTTTGTTGGGTTGGTTGTGGTTTTGGGTTTCTTGTTCTGGTGTTGCTGCTTGGTTCGTATCTCTCTCTTTTACTAGACTAAGGTGACTTGTGCATCCTCTGCACACATAGCGCCTCGACCCGTGCAAAAAAACTTGGCCGGAGATTGGGCGCGCGGCAGTAGAACTGTAGACGATTGGCACCCAGGTGAGAACCTCAGTTCTTTGTCTGTGGGAGTCAGCACTCAGCCAATCTTGTACAAAGATGGGACAAGGACCATGCTAGGATAAATCTGGGTTTCACCAGTTTCACCAGGGCCATGCACGCCGGTGGATAGTGACCTTTGATGACCGCTCTATATATCTCATCGGAAATGTGCACGCCCCCCAGGCTCCTCCCGCTTGTTGCTCGGGAGCCATTTGGGCGGGCGTGTGATGCCTCCCCCTGCTTGAGGGAGGTCAATAGGTTGCCTGCAGCCGCACTTTCGTTGCGATGTCTCTCACCTCTGTACCCAAGCCTGGCCACAGCCTCCTTTGCTCGTGCAGTCATTTGTAGTGGTTATGCCACAGAGTGGCTGTTTTCCAAGGCCTGCAAAGCATCGCAACTGGATGACCTGCAACGATCATCATAAACTTTCGTGCTGCAATTCATTCGCACCAGCTGCTCTATTAGTCTTCGAACAAAGCTGAAGTGCCTGCGACCGAGGGCAAAAGGCGACCGAAGTGATCCCATCGGCTGTATCGTGAGGGCTCTTTCCATGGCCGCCGTGTCTGACTGGGCCCCTTCTTGGATCTGGGGCTGAGAGGGATGAACCGACATGAAGGTGCCATCAATCGTAACGGTCATAAGCGGTGGAAGGGAAAGGAAAAAGACGAAGAGACCATTAACTCCGAGGGCCAGAGACCAAAATTAAGAATGCAGTTTACTTATTTTGATTTTGGTCGGTCCTTTCCGCCTGGTCTGGATTCTAGCCGCCTGTCCTTGCTTCCAAAAAGGGCAGGTGGTGAATCCCCAGACAAAGACCAGTCCACAAGCCCCTAAGTTGGAGAGAAGTGGGAGGGAAAAATATAAGAGAGAAGAACCCGACCAAGATCCACCCAGAATAACCCCTTGGAAGCAGTGGATCTTGGAAGAGGAAATCATTGGTAACCGCTGGAAAGAACTGGAAGGTGAATGACAGCGGTGAAGGGGCCCATCTGTCTCTTCCCTTTTCATCGCTTGTACCCGTCATGTCGGTTCATCCCTCTCAGCCCCAGATCCAAGAAGGGGCCCAAGGAATCCCAGGCGAGCCACTGTGCCCCATCAATCTCATCCTCGTCTTTCATGTTATGAGATTGATGCCTGACAAGCGAGGTTAGAGTCAACAGGATGCCAGGGTGACTCTTTCCCTTGTCTGCACACGAAGGCCACCGTTGAATGGCCTTCATGGACAACAGCCAAAGTCCTGATACAGCGTACTGCATTCGTCGAGAATTCAGGCCCATCTAGTTAGTACGACACTCTCTCAAGTTTCACACGTCTCACCTTAGTACAGACGAAACTCTGCCCACATTGGTTGTTGGGGTCTTTTGGTGCTGGTGTTTTTGGGGTGGGTTTTTGGTTTTCTGTCTTTTCGGGTTGCTCCGCAACCCCCTACCAATATGCAGAGTTTCCATCCTTTCTATGATGACCTGGGCACACCGCCCACATGGCGTCCGTACTCGTGGAAAAGAAATTGCTCGCCCAGGCTGGCACCGATGTGTCGGTCCTGCTGAACAATCCCTTCGCCTCTGACGACTCTCTGTACAGCGCAATAGTGTAGATAGACAGCGCCCAGGCTGCCACCTTAGTGGCGGTCCTGGATGAGTACAAAGAGTGCAGGCCTCAGAGGCATACTAGATATGGGGTAACGGCGTTTTACCTTTGTTTCACCTAGATAGTGGGGCTTTGCGTGGTACAGACGATCGACGAACGGCTTACACATGCCTTGCACATGCCTTGCACAAGACTTGCGCGACAAGATGCGCGCATTTTGTCCCTTTTGAACTCTATGGGACGATTGTCTTTCTGTGACTCCCGTGGCTAAGCTGTTTATGGAGTCACCGCCACAAGCATGTGTTGCATCCCTGTCACTCTCCTCCCCTCGGGGAGGAGTTGTCCCTTTTGTAGGTTTGCCTCAACTTCGTGCCTGCTTGGAAGCGGCTACACTTCAGCTTTGCTTGCAACAGCCCGAAGCTATTGTAAGCTACTGGCAGTGGTTTCCTTTGCACCAAATCCAAGCTGCCTTCCGAGCACCCTGCAGTTTTGTACGGAACCGACACCCAATGATGCATGCACCAATTGCTGCCTGCAAGGCATTCCAATGCCCACCAGAATGCTCTCGCGACGCAACTTCGCCCATAGTGACCTGCTTCAGGACACGCTGTCATTGACAAGCATGACAAGTCAGTGCAAAAAGGAGTATGCTGTCGCAAGGAACGAAACTCAGCCCTCCATCGTCGCGAAGATGCACTGAGAGCCAACCGAATTCATTGCCTCTGTTTCACCTGCTTTCAATTTGGCTTACACGGCCGCTAGAGCTACACCCCAGGTTGCAGTCTGTCTTTTGGGGTTTTGGTTTTGGTTTTGGTTTGGTGTTGTGTGGTTTTGGGTTGGTTGTGCGTTGGCATTTTTGTTCTTCTGGGTGTCTTTCCTACTGCAACCTGGATCGTAACTCTCTTTTACTCTCTCTTTACTAGCAAAAGATGACCTGTGCAACCTCTGCACACATGGCGTCTCCACCCGTGCAAAATGGCCCATAACCTTGACCCACATGCCATTGTGGCAGGTCGCGGCCAGAATGTTGCACATGCTTGGCATCGTCAAGATCTTCATCTCCCGATTGAGGAAGAGACCAGTGAAGATTCGTGGTGGGTTTGGATGTTGTTCGGACTGGCTTGCTTAGCAAGTGTTGGAGCCTTGAGTGTGGCAGGGTGGTTCTGCCCAAAAAGTGTGCAGTGGAAAGTGAACGTGCAGCGGCAGATCATGCAGCTTGCCATTGCAGATCAAGAGGAAAGGCTCAAGTGAAGTGAAAGAAGAACAGGACACAATGGGAATCGTGCGCAAATCTGGCCAATCGAGCCAGGCCTGTGATCTGACCCTGCAGTCAGTGCATCCCTTCTGCCATCAGGGTGACAAGATTCAATCAAACTCCCATCAGCTCAGGCCTCATGTAACATGGCGGTGTGGACGCGTACAGGTCGATGCGCTCACTCCCATTGTAAGTAAGGCCCAAAGGCGCAAAAATGAGTTGCGCATGATTTGTCAACATGATAAATGGGTTTGGGTGAAAATAGGGTTTCATTCTTCACCAGTTCACACAGATGATTTTTTTGCTCAGTGTTTTTTAATGAACGACTGGTGGAGTGTTAGATATTTGTCCACAGGGACTTGAGATTTCCTGAGGACCTTTGTATAGAGCTACCGAGGCATGCTTTGGTTACTTCTTTCACATGTAGTCTGTGCTGAAAATCCCCCATGGCGTGTGTCATTTGCGGCTCAAAAATGCAAGAGTGCAGTAACTGGACTCGAAGAACAGGTTGAAGGACTTGCCTCATGACACAGAATGATGTGAATGTAACATTGGGTGTTATGTCCTGAAAGGAACCCAGCCAACACCAGCCCGTCAAACTTAGTGGCATGATGGCAACTTGCAGCTCGGTGGCAGGAGAAGCGGTCAGAGAAGGGTGAATCTCCGGCTCCAGAGTGGCTGGTTCTTGGGTTTGGGCCTTCTGCCCTGGGCAAAGTTGAGATGGCTCCAAAATGGGATCTAAATATTGCAGACATAGGTTTTTGCCCAGTCTTTTTTGGTGGATCCTCTTATGTGGATATCACCCACATTGGCCCCAAGTAGTGCTTACAAATGTGTTTCCTTTGTTCTGCGCTGTTGGGATATACTGGTCGGTCCTGCCTCGGTGCACGGGTTTCAGAATGCTCGTTTGCCAGGGTGCCTGGTTAGGAAGCAGCAAACGATCAACCCATATAGCAGTGGCAAAGATCTCCTACTAGGACCCACTGTCGGGGTGGTTTTCATGAACACCCTGAATCACCTCTAAGGGGCTATCAAAAGACACCCCTTAGGGTGTCCTGGTATAGTTGACTAGTCTTTTGGGGTCGGGTTTCAAACACAAAACTATAGCTGATACCTGCGATTCGGAATTTTGCCGGGCATAAAGAAGGCCAGGTGGGCGAAATTCGTTGGGAGCAATGAACAGTCTCCTTGAACCTGCATATACGTGGGTTTTACACCACAGATCCACTTCAGAGAATGAGATAGGCATGGCATGGGCTATAACAATCTACAATCGACACTGACACTCGACACTTGCCACTTGACTCGTACATCTTACGACTGTGGAACCCTTGACGATTTTGGAACTTGCTGATAGGCAAATCTTCAACGCTGCTGGAGTATGGATAAGACTGAAAGGATGCCGCATGGACAGCCTGCGACATGTCGCAGGACATGTTGCACAAAAAAAAATGTATCCTGTTGAAAAGCGACATGGAACCGACCAATTTTCTGAAACCATTTTGGCACATGTCCCAGAAATACCAGACATCGACCATCGAACTCCAAGATCTCACAGCTCTATCAGATGCTCCTTCTGTATCTATTGGGATCCTCGATCCTCCAATTTCCGCTCCTCCTCAGCCAGACACGCTCGTTCTCGCGTGGACACGCTGCGTGACGTGTAGACACGACGTTTGTGCAGGCGTTGCGTGGCGTCTTGAAGATCGCCGTGGCAATGTTTTTGACCTGAAGAGCCGTCCGGATTCTTAGGGCCAAACGGGCCAAACTTCTGCCAAACGTTCCACTCAAACACCTTTTAAATGCTAGACCCCCACAGGTCTTTTCAGTCGCAACAAAAGAGATCGAAGGATCACAGAACCCCCTCTCTGGCATCCTCAACCACTACACTCCCTCCCTGTAGGGATCCGTTTTCGTACCGAACCTGAGGTTCGGTACGAAAACGGACCCGACGTGCGTTTTGGCACCTATATAAGGGATCGTGTGCGAACACATCCACCGGACCGGAGGGGGTGCATGTGGATCGTGAGGGCCCCGATGGGTAGATCATGTGGATGGCCCTGAAGGGCCATGAAATCCGAATACCAAAGATACGTGGTGTGCGTCGAGCCTCGGGAGGTGTGTGCGAAACCTGCCCGGCAGAGACGGTGAACGGTTCGGGTCCCCTTCTCGACCCTGTTGTTCAGGTCGGATTCGACCCCGAAAAGGTCAGAGTCCAAGGATCCTGTCAGCAGTTTTCTTTGGAGATGAAGCTCCAACCGTACGTTTTTTCCCGAATGAAGATGGGGCACCGGCCATCGCGCACCAAGGGGGAAACGCAGAGGCGCGGCAGATGCGGGGGCCGTGGGCAGATCCGAACCGTGACGGAGCCCGTGAAGCCTGGAATGTTAAAACCCGAGGTTGGAGGCCATTGCTATGAGGTTGGAGGCCATTGCTATGAGGTTGGAGGCCATTGCTATGAGGTTGGAGGC